TTTTTTTTTTTTTTTTTTTTTTTTCAGATTCAGTTTTTCATTCTTCAAAATCTAATCCAACATGGTGGTTGTATGACTTATTGTATTCTGACAACATAAACTTTTACTCATACATTAAAGAAATATTTTTGCCATTTTTTTTTTGTGTTACTAAAATTTGAGAACAGCCTGAAAACATTGCTAGACACAGTCTCACTAAATAAAGTGGGCTTTTTATACAGAAGTTTCACTTGCTCCGAAGGCTTTTTATTTGAAGGGTCCAAAAGCGCGCCTAAATTGAAAATTCGCAAGAGAGAAAAAAAAAGAGCGCTAAAGAAAACTAAAATATGATTGGTTGATTTCACATATGACGCGGATCGCTAAACCTAAAACAATCACAGCCGTTGATAACATATAAGATCTAACGAACAAAAACAATCTACGCTCCATTATATAAATCAAATCCAAATCTCTACAAAACTCATCAAACAACAATCAAAATCTCTCAGATTCAAAAGCTCAACCAAAAATGGCTCGTACCAAGCAAACAGCGAGAAAATCCACCGGAGGAAAAGCCCCAAGGAAGCAACTCGCGACCAAAGCCGCCAGAAAATCAGCTCCAGCCACCGGAGGAGTCAAGAAGCCACACAGATTCCGTCCCGGAACCGTCGCCCTTCGTGAGATCAGAAAGTACCAGAAGAGCACGGAGCTTCTGATCCGCAAGCTTCCGTTTCAACGTCTCGTCCGCGAGATCGCACAGGATTTCAAAACGGATCTGCGTTTCCAGAGCAGCGCCGTCGCGGCGCTACAGGAAGCTGCGGAGGCTTACCTCGTCGGGTTGTTCGAAGACACGAATCTCTGTGCGATTCACGCGAAGAGAGTTACGATTATGCCTAAGGATATTCAGCTCGCGAGGAGGATCAGAGGCGAGAGAGCTTGAGGAAGTTCGAAGCGTTTTCGTTTTTGGTTTTTGCGTGTATGTTGTTCGATGAATTGCCTCAATGAAATCGATTATCAGTTTCTATCTTACTAAACGCTGCGTTTTAAAAATTTGATGTCAAAACAGATTTATTTTAGCGTAGTGATGTCTTTCAAATGTTCTTATAGCAAAGATAAGTAACACTTACATACACACAAATAAAAGAGCAATAAGGTCGAAATCAGTAAATTTAATCAGAATGGGCTTAATCTCCTTCTGTGTTTGGGCCTTATTCGTTGGCCCAGAAGCTAATGTCGAAAGCCTCTCCCTCATCTAGCACGTTTAGAGATTGGTAGCCTTTAACCATGAACACAACTAAAAAAACGTGGGAAGCGAGTAGCAATAGTAGTGTTAATAAACACACAACAAACATAAACAGGGTCTCATATATTCATAATGCATTAACTTGGTGCAGTGGGAGTTGCGTACGGACTTGCTCAATTATGCACCACCGACTAAAGCTAAGAGTCAGAATAACAGTGGCCAAGTGTCAAAAATATAAGATGTCCCACCACGTCTGAACTATGGCCTATGGGACATTCAGTAAAGATTTTCTATAGTGACTGTCAGTAAAGGAGAATAGTAAAATCATGGACCTGTAAGAGGAGAGTAGCTACAACAAGATTCACCATGTTTTGTTTTTTAATTATAAATATCTTTCATCATGACCTGCTGGAAGAAGATAAGGAGTATATAATCAGATTCAATGGGAGGATACAAATGTATATCTAGCATCTAAAAAATTAGGAAAGAGAGATAACTAGTTTGCCTACCATAAACTGTTAGAAATTCTATGTCCACTTGTCATCATTAAAATACATCACCTTGTCACTTATTCTCATCCAATAATTTAATTATTTGATTTATATTAAAATTTGATGATTTAATTAAACTATTAATATTATACACGAAATTATGCACATTATTCATAGATATCCATATATAAATATAAACCATTGTTTCCGATCCATTTGCAATATTTAGAGAATGTCTATCTGTGGAATACTCTATTGCTAACTTACTATCAATATTCATTCTACTGAAATGTTTGGAACAACTAACTTCTCTGAGATTCACACGAAGAGGGTTACTATGAGTGCGAGGAGGATCAGAGGTGAGTATGAGGAGGGAGTGATGATTTTGTGTTTAGTGTTTTTGGGTTTTGATGAGTTTTCAATTTTGCGCTTTGTTTTCGGGATTTATGTAAGTTTATATCTTTCCATTATTTAGAATTCGTTTGTTGGTGGGACGGTATATAGCTCCATGTAAGATGTTTGTCGGAATTCTCCAAATAATATCTTCATATTCAGTATATAACGTAGTACTTATCCTAATCATTTATATTTCTGCGCATTCGACGGGATATGCTATTTGCCATATTCTTCTTTCTAGTTAAATCATTTATATTTTAAAAAATTTGGAGAAAAAATATTATTTTCCTGAAATAGCCTTAGATATTATTTTGGTGTTAAAAAAAAAGCCTTAGATATTATTTTGAGTATGACAAATACCCTTTTTTTTTTCATCTTCATGGGTCATGCATGTGCATTCAATTGTAGAAGATATATTATTCTCTTATAATCTCCATTTCTCCTTACTAAGTATTGTAATTGTCGTTAGGGATTGATGTAAAAGGGTCTTAAACGTGGTCCCTTAATCCTAATGTTGTTTATTTCATGCGTGCTTATTTGATTTAATTGCGTTGTTGTTTCCTACTTGTTTGATGGCGTCGGTCTTAGATGAAAGGAACAAACGATAAATTACGAAAATAAAGAGAGTCCAAAATAAGTTGTTGGACAGCCGAATAAATTGGGACAATGATATATTGTGTTGTCATTTCTTTTGTATAAATCCAAATATTATAAAGTTTACTGCTTTTGAGTGGAAAGAACCAAGCTAGCAAATTTTATGAAAAAACACAAAACGCCAACGTATTCTCCAACATCCATCGTTGCTGCAAAATGAAAAATATATGCAAATGCTCCAACGCGGAGATAAATTATTGAAACAAAAAGGTCCAGCAAATTAATAATGATGATAATGTTTCCAAAATTAATAGAAAATAAACGTGTCAAGTGTCAACGACCAGGTGATATTTTGCTGACTGACCCACGAATATAACTCCACCAGAACCATTCATCGTGTGTTACTATCCCGGAGAATTTGATATTCTTACTGGATACCATTGAATAAAATGGTTCGTATATTGTCTAAATTTAGTGGGAATCACTAGGATAAATATTGAGCCAATGTTGGGCCACGATACCGGAACCAAGTTCAGACCCTATGAACAATCCTTGTCGATGGTCGAATTGACGGCTAATTTGGCTTTGTCGTTTATTTATAACTTTTTGTTTGTCTATTTAGGTTGGCGTATTAAACTTGAGTTAAATACCACATATATTTATATATACAGAATAATATATCACAAATTTTACATTAGAAAATATGTATGGTTAAGGACTGGTTAATGTAAATTTTCATTTAATCATGTGTATTATGGACCTTATGGTTGATTTTACATACCGTTGTTGTAGCAATTCTTGTACCTATCCAACTAATTAATATCAATAGAGTAAAGATGTTAATAGTGGTAACAGTCTCGTGTTAGTAGGTCTTGGATACTTAATACAAACAAATACGTGTGGATTATGTTTAGCCATCCACGCATATGCATATATATATGTGCCACATATATGATTATCACCACAATTAATCAAACGTTTTTTTTCTTTGTTACGAACCAAATTTGCCGCATAAACGCAAGAAACTAAAACAAAAGAATATACAAAGAAAAGAGGGGTATGACAGACGTGTGGTTCCATGAACTTGCTGATTAACGCTTACTGAAATGATTATCAATATTATTTTTTAAATATGCACGAGCATAATCATTAGATAGAAAACTATATAGATTAATACAAATTTCTTAATGCGTAATATAAGGTAAAATGACGAATTATGATACAATGATTGGTCATGTCAACCGTGACTGTACGGAAGTTTCCTAAGCCACCGTGTCATTCTTTTCTAGCCATTAAATGATTCAAGTTAATCAAAATACTCCACTGCATTAATTTAAAATTTTCAATACTGTAAACATTAAATTCATTAATCATGTGAGAAACATTAATATTCATATATCATGTTCCGCAAATTGATCATATATAAAGTAGAGCCATATTTCTGAAACTTTCCTCTATAATTAACAATCGATCACATTATTTTATTTTATTTTAATTAAGAAGCGCATTCTTTAATCAAACCTATATTACTGTAAAATATTAATTATATATATATATATCAGTATACACTGACAAATCTACATATATATACTAATAATCTAATATACATATGTTTGTGTGTGCATGTAAGTAAGCATGCAATTGTTCCGTTTATTAAACGATAATCATTTTTCAAATGATAACGACAATAATCTTGACTACTATATACCATTTTAGGCAATTATTAACACATAAAGCCATTATGATATTTTTATTTGCTTTGCATAATTTCTAAAGGAAAAAAAAACTCCAGCAAAAGTACATACTATCATTCCATTTTCAAAAAAAAGAAGTACATACTATCATTTTCAATTCACGACCATTTCTCTTTCTTTTTTTTTTTTAAATAAAAAATTTGGACTCCTCACCACTTGGCCATTTCTCTATATATATACATCCATCCCACTTAAACCCTAACACACATATGCCCTTTAATTCTCATCATTTTCTTACATCTAAAATAATAATGTCGTCCTTCACCACAAACCCTCACCGTCGCCGCTTCGCAGCAACCACCACAACTACAGCCGTAGACTGCCATAAACAAGTCCGTTCATGGCACCTCCTTCGCACCATCGTCCAGCTTCTCATCCCATCTTGCTACTGCACACTCGTAGATCCAAATGATAACCAAGAAGACAAATCTCACCGCCAAATCAAACCAAGAACCTCCTCCGCAACCACATCTTTCACCGGAACAATCTTTGGTTTCCGACGTGGCAAAGTAAACTTCTGCATCCAAGCAACAAATACCAAAACCCTAAATCCAATCATTGTCCTCTTAGAACTCACCGTCCCTACAGAGGTTTTAGCTCGCGAAATGCGAGGAGGTGTGCTAAGAATCGCTCTTGAATCAAACAATAGTGACGGATATGATTCACATCAAGATTCTTCTTCTTTTTCTCTTCTTACAACACCTTTGTGGAACATGTATTGCAATGGTCGGAGAGTTGGTTTTGCCATCAAAAGAGAGCCTTCAAAAGCTGAGCTAGCTGCGTTGAAGGTGCTTACTCCGGTGACTGAAGGAGCCGGAGTTGTTAACGGAGAAGAGATTAACCGAGCGAAGAGTGATCATATGATGTACTTAAGAGCGAGTTTCAAACGAGTTTTTGGATCATTTGATTCGGAATCTTTTCATCTCGTCGACCCACGTGGGATTATCGGACAAGAATTAAGTATCTTCTTTTTTAGATCGTCACAGAAATGATCTAATCGTTTTTGGACATACGTTGGGATTATTTCGAGATTCATTGATGTTTTTTTGAAAAAATGTTTCGTTTAGGCAAACTAAACCGATTAACGAGGGTCTCGTAATGTTTTTTGAGCTGTGCTTGATAAAGATGAAAATGTAATAAGCATAGCTTTTGATGATCTCAACTTTTGTATGCAGTAGTGGTGACCATGTGTGTTCATGTGTTTCTTGTAGTGGAAAGGCGTTTAATCATCTATATGATATATCTATGTATATATTTTTACATTTGCGTTCTATTATTGTCAATAATTTGGGGAATAAAGTTAATAATTTAGTCGGCCATCTTTGTTAATAGAATGTGCATGCATACAAGCAAACATGATAATTATTATATAACTATAACAATTAACGAATTAATTATACATAGCTACATATCTTAGATCGTTTTAGTTTAATAATATAATTTACAAACCAATACACATATTTATATATCATTAGTTTGTATTTCTATCTAAATTTACATCATACATATATTCAAACAGTATATATGGAAAAATTAAGGCATCACTTGTTATAGCCGACTCTCCCATAATGACACACACGGTTGAATGCAGTGCTAAATCATCGTGTTAGCAACTATAAACAGTTTTTGACAATAAAACTAAGTAATGAGAGCATT